GGGGTGGGTGATGCACCTTTGTTGGGTCCGGAGTTGGTTAGAGAGACGACGGAGAAAGTTGAGCTTATTCGTAGGAGGCTTGTTACAGCCCAGAGTCGGCAGGAATCTTATGCTGACCGTAGGAGGAGACCTTTGGTGTTTGAGATAGGTGATCATGTCTTTCTGAAGATATCACCTAGGCGAGGTTTGATGAGGTTTGGGAAGAGTGGGAAGTTATCCCCTCGGTTTATTGGGCCTTTTGAGATCCTTGAGAGGATTGGCGAGGTTGCTTATCGTTTAGCCTTGCCGCCGCAGTTGTCCGGAGTACATGACGTGTTTCATGTGAGTATGCTTCGGAAGTATGAGCCGGATCCATCGCATGTATTAGATTGGACCGACTTAGAGGTAGATGAGGATGCCTCATATGACGAGAGACCGGTTCGGGTCTTGGATAGGCGGGATCAAGTCCTGCGTGGCAAGACCATCCCTTTGGTTAAGGTTTTGTGGAAATATCACGGAGTGGAGGAAGACACTTGGGAACGTGAGTTGGAGGTCCGCGAGAAATATCCGGACTTGTTTATTGATGAGTAATCTTGTATTTAAATTTTGTAAGGTTGTCAGACTTAAGAGCTTTATATATGTCTTAAGTTGTAAAACATTGGTAATGTTTTGGTATTAATGGAAGTATGTTGTAGAACTTACCTTGATATGGGAGTTGATTATGATATTGCATATGTTGGCTATATTGTAGAATTGGAGTTGTATCATGTATATTGATTATGATATGAACTGTGGACCATGTATGTTGGAAATGGTTGAAAATGGAAGAAAATTGCATATTGATAATGCACTTGTAATATATGTTGTGAAATGCCTCTTGAAAGGAGATGGAATTGACCGGTAATGGGTCGGGTTGTTTAATATTTTGTTGTAATATTATTGAGAATGGATAAAACCTGTTTTTCAAAAACTTGTGTTTAATTTCGGGGACGAAATTCTATAAGGGGGGGAGGTTATAGCGATCCCGGTTATCCCTTTACTGTTCTGTTGTATTCCGGACTCGGTTCCGTGAAGTTGGTAGTGGTATCTATCTTGTTGTCATCATTTAATTCCGCTTGATTGAGTTTTAGGATGTTTTGAACAGGGTTGTTACCGGTTGGTTAGGCCTTGGTTTCAATTCCTTGTTGTTCAGTTTTTAGGCGTTCCGCTCGAGCGGGTCTTCTTGCGCTCGAGCGGGGATTACACACCTCCAGTATTTCGTGTCTCTGCAAAACTTCTGCATATGTGATTTTTACGCTCGAGCGGGTGTGTTTACGCTCGAGCGGGTTTTCTGGCGCTCGAGCGGGTAGTGCTTTCTGGGTGTAAGTTCTGGGAGGTGAAAATCTACGCTCGAGCAGACTGGTTTTCGCGCTCGAGCGGAAGTGCTTTATTCTTGTGTCTTGGCGCTCGAGCGGGCCTTATTACGCTCGAGCGTGTCCAGATTCCTGTCGTGTTCTCCGCTCGAGCGGGTCATACGTATATGAGTTATCCGCTGGGTGATTTCAATCACCTTTTGCTTTTCTTTCTCTCTCCTACTTTTTCTAAAATCCCTTTTTGAGAGCCTCTCTCTCTAGATACTCCCTTCTCTCTAGGGTTTGATCTAGTTAGAGTGTCCTCCTTCTCTTCAGCTTTTGTAAAAGTTGTGTTGATCGTCGAGGGCGTCGTTTTGATCCGAGAATCTTGGTCTTTGGAGCACTTTGGTTTTGGTCTTTTCTCCATCTGAGCTCTAACTGCGAGGTAGGGATATCCTACTCCTCTTTATGAGCTTTGTCTTTAAATTTTAGTATTTTGAGATGTTGGGGTTGGTTTGGTAATCTTGTGAAAGTTTGGGGGCTTTTGTGTAAATTTACAAGAGTTGGGGTTTTAGCTATATAAAACCTAGATGCATGTTTGAAATGGAAAATGTGAAATTAATGTTAAGACATTAATGAAAATGGAACCTAAGGGTTGTAATGTAAATTACGGAAAATGCCCTAATTACATTGGTTAATTAAATTGCATAATTAATTATGAGAAATGAGGAATTGATTTGGGAAGACATGGGATTAAAGGGTGTAGTTGGATTATTTATCACTCACCTAGTTGGAATGTTGATTATATATCCATTGTTGCATTTATTTTTCTGTATAGAAATAACTACTTTGGGCTATCGGTGGAGGATAGTCTTGATTGTTGTAGACAATGCATGATGATTAGGCAAACTGAAACTAATCACTGGAATGTGTCATTGAGATTGACGATTGAAAGAATACATTAAATTTATGTATTGTGTGATGATGTGTATAATTGTTGTTTATATGCATTGTGTTGTGTTGGAGGAGATAGGGGATGTACTCCACGGTTTAGGGGAAGATAGGGGATAGACCTCTAAACCGGATGTTGATGGGAGGAGATAGGGGATGGACTCCGTAGATAGAGCTCATATGCTTATCTAGTGATGTATTGACAGAGCTCATATGCTTGTCATTGGAAGTGTGATAGTGCTCATATGCATATCTGTGGAAGTGATGATATAGTTTGTATGCTTATCTGTTGGTATGTGATATAGCTAGTATGCTTATATGTTATGAAATGAGAAGTGCTTGATATGAAGTACTATATCATATGAGTTGTTTGGCCAGGTTCTGAGCCATGGTTATAAATTGAGAATTGAAAAGAAATGGAAAATGGACTGTAATATGGACTTGTATGTCATGAAACCGTAAAGTGTGATAAGGGAAAGTATCTGTGTTGGCCATCTATCAACTGCTAATCTTTTAGTCGTTGTTCGTTTTTGGTTTAGTATATTTCTACTGGGCTGTGGCTCATCCTATATGGGAATATCATTTTCAGGTACAGGTAACATGCCACCCCCAAGGACGTAGCTTGGGAGGCTAGAGGCAGGCGGACTTTTGTTTGTTTTATTTCTTTGATGTATTACATGTATATTCAAGCCAAGGGCTTAATGTGTAAATGAGTTAGCACTCTTTTGTTGTAACCAAGTGTTAACTTGGAAAGCTGTAAGCCTCTAGGGCATTTGCTTTTATTGTTAAACATGTAATACTTTTGATTATGGGACTCTGATGAATAAAAGAATGTGGAACTTTTATATATCAATGCATGTCTATATTGATCGGTTTAATGTTGTTATTTTGAGGGCGTTACATTGTAGGTCATGAACCAGTTTGTGTTTGAGGCCATACCGACACAACCTAGTCCGATAGATGGGTTAATCGCTTCCAGCTCAAGAAACTTCTTCTTCCCATTAATCCTGTTTTGTTTGGGTGGCATGTAACTATGAAGCTCAGCAGAGTTGAAAACCTTTCCAGGTACTGATCCTTCTTCAACTTCGCTTTCTTCGGGCTCACTGAGGTCTTCCTCTACATTGCTCGTTTCATTCCTGCTATTAGGAATTGTTGTACAAACCTGATAGAGTCTCTGCTAGTTTGTCTATTGATATAGTGATGGCGAGAACTTGATCTGAAAATTTCGATATTGCTTTTGGTTATGAGGTTTCAGAATGTGGCTGTTCTAACAGAACTCCCAACTGGGTCTGCAAATGAGAGATCGGGTTGTGAAGGGAATGAGGTAAAACCGGTTGGACATCTGAGTTGTTGGTGGCAGAGTTGAGTATGAAATGAGGGTAAGAAACACTGGAAGTGAAGATTATGATTGTCAGGAGGGTGATAAAGAGAAGAGGATATAACAGTGCAAGAACAGAGCCTCCTGGAAGGCATTTTGAGGGCTTGTAATTGCTTTGTTTTTGCATTCCTAGGGCAGATTTTTCTATGCCTTTTGCTTCATCTTCGTCTCAGATAATTCTCATTTGGATTTTTGATCAATTAATTTAGCTGTAGACCTAGGAACTAGGAAAGGATTTCAAACTCTCTCCCACATTGATTTCATGTTTGATCATCCCTAGATGCCTTTTTTTCATTGTTTACAACTTATTTTTTGCCTAGGAGAGAAGCAAAACTTGAAGTAAAAGCATTTTTGATCTTCCAAATTAAATTAATGTTTAAAATTGGTCTAGTTTAATTCCTTTGTTGGAGTAATTTCAAATTTTTTATTTTTTATTTATTTATTTATTTATTTTTTATTTTTTTGAAGAATTGGTAGGAGAGAAATAAATAAAGGAAATTTACATTTACAATAGTAATACTCAAATCTCGTTTAGCAAGGATTGCCTCATTCACTAGCTAGATTGTCTCATTCACTAGCTAGCAAGAGATCAATTTAAGTTGATAGGCCATGTAACTAAATTTATTCATTGCAATACAACGTTTAGTAGAATTAAAAGCAAAATATATCAAACTTTTACAAATTAAAAATAAATAAATAAATCAAACCAGAAACTTTCGCAAATCTATCTTGCACTAATCGATCTTAATTTTTGTTATGCCCAAAAATCTTAACCCCCACATGTATTGAAGTTGATCTCACCGTCCATTTGGATTCATAATCTCAGAGAAAACAACAGTTTGATGAGAACCAAAACTGTTGTCAATCCTTGCACCACTCTCAGCCGTTGATGTCCCGGTCTCGTTGCTCTGAGACGTCAAAAACAACATATCATCGTCATCATCGGTCGTGGTCTTTCTCGCCTGAAGCAAAGTATCCGAGGGACTCATCAACCCATCTTCACCGCTGATGTTCCTCTCTGCAATCTCTTGAAGCTGCAATGCAAATTCCAGGCTCTAAATCACATCACCCATTGCTGGACGTTCGACCCCAGTATCACGTAGGCAGCTTTTGAATATCTTCCCAAACTTCTTTAAACAGTCCGACACAATCTGACCTTTCAGATGTGGATCCACAATCTGATCAATGGTACCTTCTCGCCAACATTTACGGCCCCACTCAACCAAGCTCGCTTGCTCCTTTTCTAGCCTTGTCACAATTGCAGGCCTCCCACATAACACTTCCAATAACACTACTCCGAAAGAATACACATAAGACTTTTCGGTTAATTGTTGTCGTCGATAATATTCTGGATCCACATACCCGAAACTACCCTTTACGATAGTGCTGACGTGACTCTGGACCACATTAGTGGGGCCAATTTTCGACAGCCAAAGTCTGAAAATTTGGCCACCCATTTTTCATCCAATAGTATGTTTGTAGACTTGATGTAATAACCCACATTCTTGTCTTAGTCATGTTCATGTGCATTCGCATGATTTTGTCTTGTTAAGCTTGCATTTGTAGACTTTGACTTGTTTTGCTTAAGCAAAAGTTCCTGTCTTGTTTTGTGCTTATGTGCTTTGCCTAAGTGTTATATGCATGCTTTGTTCCTTGCTTGTTGTCTCAAGCCTAGGTCATCTTAAGCCTAGGTCACACCTTTGAACCTCTTACACCTAGGACAATCTTGGAACCACCTTGGTTGACCTCCCTCCGTCACCTAGACATATTAGCCGAGATGTCATCATCTAAGCCGAGGTGTGCATCACCTAGGCCGAGATGTTATTATCTAGGCGTCCTAGATCTTTGATCCTTGCCCTTAGTGATCTTATTCCTGGACTGGTATGACCTAGACCGAGGTGTGGCACATCTAGTGTCACGACCCAAACCTGCCCCTACGGGTTTAGCACCGTAACCGGCCAGTTTGCCATGATTACCGAAGGCCTGCTTGACAGTAATAACAGTAATACATAGTACAGGGGCTGGCGGAAGCCAAAACAGTAAATGAAAGATGTCCAATGAGCTGTGACAGTCTGTATGCAAAAAGACTTTTTAAACATATACACATTCAAACCATAACAGTATGTGCATACATCATATATAGGCATACAGGTTAGGGACCAAATCCCTACCATAACAGTACAGTACAAGTATCATTCAGTCTATACAGTGTTACAAAACCAGATACAATAAAAAAAAGGGAAAAAACTAAAACACCCCAAAAAGCCCTAGCTTGAAGGATTTGGAACCTCGCAGTGAGGCACGGTGGTTGGCTTTGACAAAATGGAAGCTTAGCCCGACGCTCCTAGCAACGGTTTGGTGCCTGTACACCTACATATATTTATGAGCAGTGAGCTAAAACCCAGTGAATAACATATGCGTAAAGAGGTTAAGAATGAATGTCCTTTCAGTATTGAAAACAGTCATTTATCAGTATATCAGTCATTCAGAAACTATAATAGTCATATGTGGTACATCCAATAGCAAAATAGTACAGTAGGTCTTAACAGACCGACGAATCAATGATGGCCATCATATCAGTAAACAATAGTGGTTCCAACATGGGAACCGACAGAGATCTCTGTAACAGTAGCAGTAACAGTTCAATAACAGTAAATTGCCATGGATGCCACGAATACAATGCACAAATAGGACAAACATTCATTCAGTAAACAGTGTCATTTCATAAAGCAGTACAGTCATTTGTTCAAAAAATAATCTCAATTGAACATATCTTTACAACATTGTTACTCACAGAGTTCTGGGCTACAAATAGGCTAGAGTGTCCTCGGATGCCAACCCTACATAGTTACAGGATGAACACACACTAAGCTACACAGTTGGGAAAATAATAACTTAATCCCTAATTTACCTCGGTGTGGTTCTACATCAATATCCTCATTAAGATGCCTTAAACTAGGCCTAAGAATGCTTAGGATGGAATGAGGATGCAAAGATGCACTTTAAAACACTTTTCAAAATTTTCAGAAAACAGGAGTCTCGCTCGAGCGTGGCTTTCTACGATCGAGTGGACATGCAGACAAAGGACCTACGCTCGAGCGTGACTTCCGTCGCTCGAGCGGACTGCAAGCTACAGTAAAAATACTGGATGCACAAAAATCATGCTCGACGGGCGCTCGATCCACGCTCGAGCGTGGGACACAAGTCCTCGCTCGAGCGTAAACTCTCTCGCTCGAGCGGACTGTAAAAACATGCAAAGTACTGGATACATGCATTTCACACTAGAGCGCCAATTTCCTCGCTCGAGCGGACTGCATGAACACAAGGCGTACGCTCGAGCGTGGAACTCCTCGCTCTAGCGTGAGTCCAAAATCTAGAATTTCCAAATTTGAACCTCAAGCTCAAATCTCAACTTTAATGTACCAAATTCGATCATTTTGGGCTAATTTTCTGGAAAACACTTGTAAACTCATAGTATAACATGTTTTTAAGATCAATTTGAGAAATCAAAGCCCAAAGGTAGTTCAATTAAAACACAATTCCAACTCAAAATCCAATAACATGAAGATTAATGCAAAACTCATACATGCATGAGTTCTAATGAATTCAAAGCTTCTAATGCATGCTCCAATGAGCCAATCCTTGCAAAAACATGGTGAATTCATGGATCAAGACCAAAAATATGAACATGCATGCAATAATTCTCATGAAACAACTTCAAGACTTCGACAATAGGACCATGTATGCATGAATTCTAACTCAACTCAACAATTTAAGCCATATTTGGCTCTAGACTTCAAAATTAACATGGACCATGCAAGAATCAACTCAAATACACAAACAAGAAGATAAATTCTCTACCTTAGGTCTTGGATTACAAGTGTAGAGGCTCAATTATGCAAGACTCCTTCAAAACTTCTAATTCTCCAATGAAATCAAGCTTTTCCTCTCACACTCTCACTCTAGTCGGTTGTAGTATAAGGAAATGGCTGAGGAAGAGACATAAAATCAAGTCTCAAGGTGTTGGAGAGATGGCCCACTAACATGGCAAAAGGGTAAATAAGTCTAACTTATGTGATTCAACTTAATTAATCCAATTTAATTATACTAAATCAAATTTCAATTAAATATACCATAAGATTACATAAATTCCAATTAGCATAAAACATTAATCAATTTCAAATTCAGCCGCCGATAAGGCCTTCAATTTACAATTTAAACATAAAACACGAACAGATAATTCAATGGCAAACAAATAGAAATGCATCAAACTAACGCACTCAATCAATCAGTTCAGGATTTTAGCCAATCAGTCAGTTAACATGCTTAATCAGAGATTAGCACTAATCAGTGGTGAGGGTTGTCACATCTAGGGCGAGGTGTGGCACAGCTAGGTCAAGCGTTATCCATCCTAGTCGAGATCATTAAGACCTTACTTGTCGAAGCCTATGTCTTGATCCGAGGTCATTGCCTTGTCAGAGTGCCCTTGTCACCTTACTTGTTGTACACCCTTTGTCATGCTCTTGTCTTGTCATTCTGTCACCTTTTTGAGGAGATCCAATCCGGCGTTGCCACGTGTCCCAACAGAGGGTTAAGTCAGGTACTAGCTGAGAACCCATATCGTTTTGTGTCATACCTTTTGCATTGTAGAGAGAGAGGCTCTAGGAAGAGGAAGAGAAGTTTAGAGTGAGAGAGCTACATCCCAAGCTTGATCTTTAGAGTTTGAACCGTTAGATCCGTGTTTTGAGGTTAGATTCTTGATCTACTCTTGTTATTCTTTATGCTGATCTAATCGCATTGCATGATCTAGCATGATTCATAAGCCATGCATTGATTTAAAGTTTGGTTTTAGAAAGAGAAAATGATGTTCTTATGTTCTTGAAGAAAAACCATGTTTTGATCCGAAAGTTTGTATCAAGATCCATGTATTTGTGTTTATTTTCATGAAATCTCCAAGTATGGGTACCAAGGTCCATGTTTTTGAACTCATATCATGAAATCTCAGATTTTGGAATGAGAAGTTATGATTTTAGCATTTATGTTCTTCATATTCTTCAAGGGAGGAAACCTAGATTTCCAGACTTCACCTTTCCCTAGGTGTGGTCACCGAGACCACTCTTGCCTAGATCTCACACCTAAGCCAAGCATTGTATCTCACCTTGGCCTACCTTACATGATCACTTGCATCATTAGTCTATCTTACATGCACACCTCGGCAGGCAGCTGCACACCGAAGCCTAGGTAACCACACCTCGGCCAAGAGGTGTGGGACCTCGGCCAAGACCTGGTTGGTACCCAGCATATTTTCCCGAAATGAAAAATAGTGTTTTAACTCCTAGCACATGTTTTTCTTTGTCTTGACTTGGTTTTGGAAAGAAATGTCGGGATCATTTTCATTTATGTAGAGCTTGTTTTAAGGATGCATTGCACATCCATCTTTGAGCATTACTTCTTGTCTTCTTAAAATGCATTCAATAAACTTTTCCATGTATTTGTAGGTCTTGGATCCTTGCCTTAATCCCTACACCCGAAGAGTTATGTGAGTGGTATTTTTAATAAAGCTATGTTACAATGTTCTGATAAAAGCTTTGCTTTGTTTCATTTTCGAAAAGTATTTGTTCAAGTATGAATGATTATCCCTAGTTTTTGTATCAAGTATTATGTTTGTTTTGATGACATTCTTGGAAAGTCCTTAGTGCTAGGGGACTATAATGCAACTAGTACCCTTGTTTGAGATATCTCTCTTGCCACCGACGGTCTTGTACGGGTGGGTTTGTCTAATCGATTCCAGGTCGATTATTCCCTTGTTTTGCCACTGACGGTTTTCCGCGTAGGTTGTCTAACCGATTCTGGGTCGGCCACCGACGGTCGTGAACAGGTGTGCTTTAATTCCGGGACGGTTATTCCTTTGTTTTGTCAGGAATGTCATCCTTTGGTATTATGTAGATGTTATTAACATCCAAGAAGCTTTGAAAGACTTTGATTGATGAACTTGATTCATCTCATGCTTTGTACAAGTTATTTTATGTATTGTTTTGATAAAGATCTCGGATATCATTCATTCAAACCTTTATTAATTATATCATTTATTGAGTATCCAAGCTCACCCTCCCCTTTATATATATGTAGGTGGCAAACAAGAAGGCAGTGACGCCTAAGATGTTATTTGCAAGATGTTTGATTCATGTTTTGTATCATCTTGAAGATTATGCTTCTTAGTTTGTAATTCATTTCTTTTGTATATTTCGGCTTGAGAAGCCTTTTGATCAAGATGTAATATGTACTCCATTTTATTTTATATTCAAGTTGTAAAACCATGTTAAGATGTATGTCATTTCATTTGATCTATGCACAGCTCTTATGGACTACTTATATTTAAATTTATTGCTTCCGCACATGTAAGTCCCATATGTATACTCTGATTATGTGTGAATCTTTGTAAGTTGGCCTTTGGTAATCTCAGATTACTGGCCATCACGGCACCATTCTACTAGGGGCGAAATGAGGTCGTGACACTTGACGTCGCGGTGAATGATCATGTGCTTCGCTCCTGTATGGAGGTAATGGACCCTATGTGCAGCATCGATGCAGATCTCGAAGCGTTGCTTCCACGAGAGAGGCGGATTGTCTGATTTGTAGAGATGATCATGGAGGGTGCCATTGGCCATGTAATCATACACCAAGATCATCTCACCATCATCATCACAGTAACCGATCAGAGCCACTAGATGGCGGTGGCGTAACTTGGATAGCATTTCGATCTCTGTTCAAAACTCGCGAGCCCCTTGGCTTGATGATGGATGCAGCCGCTTGATCGCAACAGTGGATGCGTCGTTATCGATGTACCCTTTGTACACGTAACCAAATCCTCCGGTGCCGATCACAAAATCCTTTTTGAAGTTGAGCATAGCAGATTTGAGTTCTGCTAGTGAGAAATGTCGGCAGAGATTAGATGGTAACATTAAAGCGTTAGTCTTTGTGGACTTCGACGTGTGTGAAATCAAAAATTAGACCCACGATCAAGGTTCTAAATCGCGGTATCGGGTAACGTAACGGTATCGATCGCGGAGTATCGGTATCGGGAGTATCGATCGGTACGTATCGGGAATCGGGTGTCGCGGTAGTGAAATTTTAAAAATCATTTCAAAGATATTTCAACTTTTTCTTTCTCGTACCGGTCCGAACCGGTGAGTATCGGCCCGTCGCGGCTTGTGTAACGCTTACAGGCCGATACGTACCGGGACTCGGCCGATACTCCTGTGATTTTTAATCTCAGTGGTATATCGGCCTGTATCCGTCGCGGTACCCCATTTTTCCGATACGTATCGGCCGATACGTAGCGTATCGGCCGATATTTAGAACTAGGCCCACGATGACTTGACCACGCTTGCACCGGAGTGTCTCACCCTCCTCCGTCGCCGGAAAATCAAGAAACCAATCACTAAAATCAAGAATACTCCACCGATTACACCTCCGGGGACGGCAACAACCAACGACGACGATTTACTATTCTATTTGCCCGGTAACTTTGGATACAGTGCCGGCGGTGCAGGATCGTATTTAGGATTGGGCCCGGCGAGACTTCCGTCCGATTGATTCAATTTGAATATCTCTAAACTGTTCAAGATTGCATCAGCTCAGCGGACCAGGGCTCGGAGTCCATATTCGGGTTCATCGCGAACCACAAATCCACCTTACTCCGAAGGCCATCGACGGGTGGGACCAAAAGAACATAGTCTTTGAAAACAGGAATTATGTTACCCCTGCTCAAGTGTATAACATCAACCTCTGGATTAGCCGTCTGATTTTTCATATACACAAAAAATACCCTCTCATTTTCTCTGGTTACCTCCAGTTGAAACTCGCAAAAATGAAGCCTAGCCAGGTACCGGAACCCAGAATCAACGGTGAAGATCCAAGTTAAATTGTACTGCAAGTTTAGTTGTGGGTCATTTCCCATGGTCCGAGCCGTAGTGTACACAGTCGCCGGAGCAGTGTAATTCGGTGCGTCGTTAGTGTACCAAATTGGGACGTCATGGTGAGGCGCCAAACCAACGCCGCCGTATATGTACAGGTCATCTTGATGCCACCTCCGGTACATGCTAGTATCGTCATTCACAGACACGTCGTTGCCACCGACGTTTAACCGGTACAGAGTTTCAAGAGCAGTGTTGTTATCGATATAGAAAGGTTGTTGAGAGCCAACAAGAGGGATAGGATTGAGATCGCCTTTCATGTAGAAATTGTTGGGAATCGAAACGACTTCAATGTCGTTGATAAAGGCGTATAAGTTGGGAGATGGGTTGAATGTTATGTCGAGCTTTTGGGTGTCTCTGACATTGACAATGAACTCCTTGATGAGAAAGGATTGTTTGGGAACCAAAGCAGGGACGGTGAGGAAGGCACTAAAGTTGGTTAGGGGGGTGTAGTTTGCGGTGGTGACGGAGAAGTAAGATTTTGATCTGTCGAGATTTGAGTAGGTAGCTGGGTAGAAGTACAGGCGGATGAATTTGGGGCCGAAGGAGACGGGGAAAGTGTAGGTGAATTTGGAGGTGAAGATGCGGGCGGTGAGAAAAGGGATATCGGTGACAGAAGAGTCTTGTTGGGTGGCCGTGGATGGTGATGAGGTGGTGCCGATGTTGGACAGTGAGAATTTTGAGGTGGCATCACCGTCCCAGCTCCGGCCGCCTTGTGACGTGGCATTGGAGGATGAGCCGCAGTTGAGGAGGAAGTAATCGGTGGGTGTGTAAGGCGGTGTTGTGACTGCGGTGGAGGAGAGGAGGTGGAGTAAGGAATAGAGGTAGAGAGCAATGGTGAGCATGTTGGGGGTGTTGAAGATTGAAGTGTTTGATGTATTGTCAAGTCCGAACTGGAAGCTAACTTAAGGTGATGAGTTTTTTCAATTTTAGTTGGGTGGTGGGTAAGAGAAGACTTGTAATTGACTCCATGAGAGTGAGAGAGCTTGGATTGCTTAATGGTGGTCAAAATTGGCGCTTCACGAGGGGACTTTTTAGGTCATATAATAGATATTTTCAAGCCAGTCCAATTTTTTTTTGGCTTTCATGTCCGAAATTTCTTGGAATTGTTAGTTTTGAGGTCATGTAATAGATATTTTCAAGCCAGTCCAATTTTTTATTTTTTATTTTTGGCTTTTATGTCCAAAATTTCTTGGAATTGTTAGTTTTGAGAATTGAATCTAGGGTTTTCATTTTCTATGATCAATTCTATGTTTTAATCATGTGTTCTTCGAATTATTATGAAACCAATGTTTGATTAATCTACATTAGAATAATCAACTATGATAGTTTCCTGCTCTGGTATGGATGAAGCTTGAAGGGATATGCCTATGGATTCTATTAAGTGCCAAATCCCACTAAATGTACTGCAAAGCTAGTTCACTTTCATTGACAAATAACTCACTTAATTGGGAATAAATATCAAGTGCAACATAACGAATAGAAAGTCACAAACAACTATCAGATGGTCATTATTTAATTCTAGTTAATCCAACCATGTACTTCTCACTATTGTAATGTGATATTTTTTTTAGTTGACGATGTTGCTCATTGTAAAGACTGTTTCAACAACATCCTAAATTTCTGCCAAATTTAATGATCACGTATATCAATTATTTGATTAGTTTGTTAGAGAAATTACCATGTTGATTATATTGTGGAATATACTCATGGTTCCTACTAGATTCCCACAATCTCAGGCTTTTGTGTGCACCAGCCAAGTTTGGGAAGAGGGTTGGAGGTTAAAATAGTCAATAAAAATAAAATAAGTTAAAATAGTTAATAAGACAAAATGTCATATTTAAATCATAATCATTTCACTTTTTCTTTCACAACCATCAAATCAATTACAAAAAAAAAAATCAACTATTATCCCAAACACAATTTTTTTAGTTAAGTTAAAATAGTCATAAAATTAACTAAAATAGCAAAGTTTCCAAATGAGCCCAAAGTAAGCAGTGTTGGTACTACTTTTTGTCAGTACTGCTTGGAAATCAACAAAGATCATCTCTGTTCAATTGGAAATTCCCAAATCTCCCCGTTAAACTCGAAGAGTACAACTAAAACACACTACTAGTAGATGCATCTAAATTTCCAAGATCAAGGAAGAAAAGTTATCAAAGAAAGATGTAGAACATTTATATATATGCTTCTTAATCGAATCAATGCTACAGTAGGGGATAATATCAAAGATGATTGTGACATTTAATTACACTGTTATTTAAAGGCATACACACTATATATGATCACAAAACAAGAAAAATCAATCAAGAATAACAAGAGGCGTGAAATTCCCCATTCCGCATTGTCCAAATCACTCACAACGTTCCATGAATCACGTGATTTTGACTTCATGAATTCATCTGGGACTGTGTTTGCATCAATTGTAGGTGGCACAAGGCCGACTATCCTTATTGGCGCGCCCCATGCAATCACCGTATAGCTTTGTATTACATACCGTAGGCTTTTGTAGACCCTTGTACGAAATTTGATGTTGGTTATAAACAACAAACCTTATGGTTGTCCCTAATTCCATCAAGAACTCTTCTTCTTCTTTTTTTCCTCCATTATCTGCTAAGCATTCGGAAATTGTGGAATTGTAGCCCCCAAAGGTCATTGAGTTGCTCTTTTTAGCTGAAGAGATGGAGGAAAACATCAAAAGTAGGACTAAAGAGAAATTGAGGTGGTATGGTCTGATCCTCATTTCAGTTTTCATCTCCTCCTTGGAGCTTTTTCTGTTGAATTTAGATATCAATTTCTTCATCTTTGTTAGCACAAAACAGGCCAATCAATCACGTTTTCTCATACACCTATCTATTCAATTATTTTAAAAAAAATAAAAAAAATTACGTATAATTCTAAATTACAAAACTCCAATTGCAAAACTATAAAACTATTTTCAAAATATACAAGAGTGAATTACACTTTGCTTCCTTTATGTTTGGTCACTTTCTCACTTTAGCCTTTAAAGTTTGTTTTTACTTACTTTAGCCCTTAATATTTTAAGTTTTTCCCACTTTATTTTTAATACTAACTTCTGTTCAAAATTATATTAAAAATGCCACAATAACTATCACATAAGATAATATATATATATATATATATATTATATTAGAATTCAAGTTTATCGTAGAAGTACAATATAATAAAATATTTTTATGTCACGTAACTGTCAATGTGTAGTTTAAGAAAACTTAGGGGGTATATTTGTAATTTCCCAAACAATAGGAGGCAATATGTTCTTTAAGCAAACTACAAGAGGTATATTTGTAATTTATCCATTAAATAAAGAGTAAATTTGTGACAAATCTAATCTAAGGAGAATATACTGCATTAGGTTAAGTAAATATTTTTTATTAGTGAGAGGTCACACCCTTTATTTTGGTAAGAAGTTTTTTTATTTGTTTTGAAGGATATTTTATTTCTTATTTTACCCCTTAAGTTATCTGTTCACAATCTGTTCAAATTTGTTTCCTATCTGATTAAATTTTTTAACTATCTATTCAAATTTTTTCTATTTGTTTAATTTTTGAGTATCTGTTCAATTTTTACACCTATTTGTTGAATTTTCAGACCTATTTGTTGAATTTTTTTTTCTATACAAAATTTTTTTTCTATTCAAAATTTTATCTGTCCAATTTTTTTTATTTGTTAAGTTTTTTTTTTTCTTCTAAACCTATATGTTCAAATTTGTATATATCTGTCAAAATTTCAAGTTTTTTTCTTTTATTATTATTATTTTTTTTATCTCTTAGACTAACTTGTTCAAATTTTTGTGCACCTAATGGACTGATCTGTTCAAATTTTTTATGGAAACCGTAAGGCTACACATTTCAAAACAGAGTAAGAGAGAAGAGATCTTCCTCCATTGTAGCACCAAACACAAGCACTAGTCGAAAATAGAGAAAGAGCTAAAGAATATTAGCAGCTCCGCTTCTCTCTCATCACACACAATGTAGAGAGAAAGAGAGTCATGGAAGAAATGAACGGCGACTACATGTACAACAAGACGGGAAGTCCCAACAAAATTAAGATCAATCAATAATTAAACTCAGTTCACAAACAGAACCCAACTGAATTCAGATCAGTAAACAACATTTCAAACTCAAATCACATTTGAAAGCGTTTCGACGATGGTATCAAGAATATGCCTCGAATAACGATCATAATACTCCTCAATAGTGAGCTCACAACCCGAATCATTATGCGAATGAGGGACCACGAAAACCTTCAATTTCTCCGAATCGTACTCGTTCCCTTCGTATCTCACACCCTCCCACCCTGCTTCCACGGCCCACCATCTAAATCCAAGAACTCGATCTTATCATACAAATCCTTGATCGTGATATCAATCCTTTGTCGCACCTTTTTTCGGTGTGACAAAAAGGTGGTGGTGCTGCAGTAGCAAGGACGACGTCGTCCCCTCGACCGACAACATGGTCGCTTGAGCATTTTCTGTCGATCGTCGCTCCCATGGTGTCGACGTGGCTAGGGTTCAGATTTTCCGTGCTCAACTAGATCTGCCCGCCGGAACGTGAGGTAGAGGAATAGGCGGCGGTGGTGGTAGTTCAGATCGGAGAAAACAAAGAGGAGAGAGGAGAGAGAAGAGAGAAGAGAGAAGATAGAAGAAAGAGCTAGATCGGAGACGGGGTAAGGTGGAAGAAAGGGCGGTTGTGATGGTGCAGAACTGTCACACCCCAAATTCGGGCATGACCGGCCATGGCCCACAGGGACTCAGCCCAAGGCATACGTAAGCCTAAACATGAACCCAAAATCACAAAGAATAAATGTGATGATAGCCCAGAAATAAATAAATCAATACTCAATCCAGTGACATACCGCAAGTGAAAAACAAAGTCATAACCAACTTCCTAAAAATATATATATATACTAAATAGGACACAAACCGCTCACAAAATAAAATAATTCTAAATAAAACCCAACCACAATGTATGCACAAAACTCGACAAAGCAACCTAAAACAAATTAAATAAATGCCCTAGAGGTCCATGCAATTGAGTCCCCGCTACGCCATGAATCCACTCTAAGTCTTTCGAACACCTGGAAGTGATAAAAAAAACTAAGTCAGCTGATAGCTCAGTGAGTAGCAACATGGATAGTAAATACAGTTTTGAAAACAGGGTTCAATTCCAAAATAAGATATATATCACAAAAACTAGATTGGCATACAGTTTGGCAAATACAATCTATTTCAAAAAGAAGGTTCCACAGTTCAACAGTTAAAATACTCATGTCTCGTAAGAACATGATAAATGACATTTTGCACTTAAAACAGATTATAACATGAACACCAATAATTTTCTGAGTACCAAGAAAAACAAATAATAATATGCCACACAGTTCTCAAGGCTATAAGCCCCGTTGGATCCAATACCGAACTAAGAGTCATCCTCAGGGTGGCACCAGGGCCTTTTCTCTAAGACGATCTGATTGAAGGTCACCTAGTTTTTTTTTAAGGTCTTTCCTTACAATCGTTGAGCACTAAAGTCATCACGGCCCAACCCGATTCTGTTCCCTAGTGGCTAGAGTCACCACACATAGTGGAATAATTTCCCTGGACTAAATACACACATGGTCCCAATAATCAATACACATCAGTTTCGCAAAACATGGTAGTTCATCATTATAAACATGAGACCAAAACAAATAGTTTATAGTATGCCAAGTTCACACATGTTTCAAAAATAATTTGATTCCATTGATAATATAATAATTTATCAAAACAGTTTAGTCTTAAAACAACAATTTAATTTTCCAACAGTTCAGGGTAGGGGAACATTTATAA